CTATTAACATACTCAATAAACATTACTCCTCCACACAGAAAAGCCATCCCTTCACAGGAGACTTTCGTCAAACGCTGCCGATGAAGTTAATGCATACCTAAAATCGTCTCTTTATGGCGATATGTCAAGAACTTTAAATTGACCACGAACATGTGAGTCGCATTGCAGAATGACTCATCCGCTGCTGAATTCTCGAGACAACTGCTGCGGCTCGGCAATGGTGAAACTCCTGTTGATGTTTCGAATGGACTAATATCGTTCCCAGCTAATTTTTTTTTAGTTCACATCATCGAAAGAGGAACTCATCACAAAACGGTTTCCCGACATTGCACAAAATTATAAAAATCTCGATTGGATTAGTGAACGGGCAATACTAGCAGCGAAAAATAAGGACGTAGATAGTTCGAATTTCGCTATTCAAAGTCAAATCGCTGGAGAACTGCATTCATACAGATCCGTTGACAGCGTGACCGACGAGGATGAAGCGACCAACTATCCGACAGAATTTTGGAACTCACTGACTGTGCCAGGAACTCCGCCGCTTAATTTGCAACTGAAGTTGGGAACAATTACTATAATGATGCGGAATCTAAATCATCCAAGATTATGCAACGGTACGCGGTTGTCCGCTGAGAAACTAATGAACAACGTGATTCAAGCGACGATCATCAAGGGCAAATTTAAAGGAGAGGAAGTTCTTATCCCTCGAATTCCGATTATTCCAACAGATCTTCCATTCTAATTCAAGAGGATTCAGTTCACAGTTCGATTGGCATTTGCGATGACAATCAATAAATCGCAAGGCCAATCGTTGGAAGTCTGCGGTATAAATCTGAAATATCAACGTTTTTCACATGGGCAGTTATACGTAGCCTGTTCGCGTGTGGGAAAGCCGTCATTATTTATTTTTGCACCGGATAACAAAACAAAAAATATTGTTTATCACATCGCTCTCCACTGATTTCGGGTCTCTGTTCTCGAGTTCTATATTAGTCTGGGGTTATATGAAGTCGTGAAATATAGGCAAGACAAAGTTCGCCAGGTCCGCTAGTTCACTATAAAACCCTACAGCAGTGTATGATGAATGGATTGAAACTTAAAAAGATTCACTCCATCATTCAATTTAAGCAGAAGCCCTGGTTGAAAATAAATATTGATATAAATACTGAACATATAACCAGGGCTAAAAATACTTTTGAAAAGACTTCAAATGTCTGTGCTCGCCTATATGGCAAAAGAGAAGTGCAAGTTCTTGTGGCGACCAATAAAATACGTTTAAGTGACAAAGCTCGTTTACACACACGTGCGACTGGCCGGTCAGCGACAATTATAATTGATTGCGGCATTTTAATATTACTAGTTGCTGAAGAATGGATGAAAACTCATTTAATCAAAGCCAGCTTGGTAACGAGCAACTTACTCATTATATGAAGATTTCTCTTCATCGCTGGTACATCTGCAGAGCTGCGTGCCAGCCTTAAAAAATGAAATAAAAGGATCCCGCTGGAGGCTGAAGCTATTCAAATGGGCAGAAAGCGGAAGCTTTTGATATCAGCTTGGAGGAGAGGTTTAAACCTTTTGACCTTACAACGCCAGATATCATATAAGCAATTGAAATGAGATATAAGCCCCGACATAAACGAAAGCAGTGGGTCACTCTTAGACTTTATACTCTCAACCAACTTAAGTATAGCAAACGTGGGGGAGGAACAATCCTTTGTAGGTTCCACCTCCTCAAACGTGCTAGATCTTACTCTTATAAGGGGACAAGGTACTTTGGTATCAGAATGGAGAGTCCTTGAGAGACCATCCTTCTCAGATCATAAGTACATACGGTTCCAATACGCATTCGAACACTCTACAAAACAATCAGTCTTCAGGAACCCCCGGAATACTAACTGGGGAAAGTTCAAGGAGACTATCGCGACACGGCTCGCGATCTCTCCGGGCATAGTAGAATCCGCGGAAGACATAGAAAAGTCCCTAGAGACCCTCTCCAAAGAACTGCTGGATGCGTACCACGCATCATGCCCTATATCAGACATGAAAAAGAGGACCAGGCCATCCTGGTGCTATAGACTCCTTTGCGAGGTTAAAACACCAGGACTAGATGGAATATTCCCAGCCATGCTGCAGGCGACCAAGGAAGTGATCACCCCATGGCTCTACGCAATATATACAGCTTGTTTAAGTACGGGCTATATCCCCATCCAATGGAGGACCTATCGGATTGTCTTCCTGCCCAAAGCAGGAAAGTGCAGCCACGTGAGCCCCAAGGATTACAGAGCGATAAGCCTCACCTCATTTATACTTAAAACGCTGGAAAAGCTGCTGGACTTATACATCAGGAACGATGTAGGGAGACCACTGTCAACCAACCAGCACGCCTACACGAAATCAGTGGAGACGGCACTACATTCGTTGGTAGCCACCATTGAGAGAGCCCTACACAATAAGGAATATGCACTTGGAGTGTATGTGGACACATCCGGGGCATTCCGGGGCACGGACGCAATAATGGCTCGCCTAGAAGCGACCAACTCGTCCCCCGCTATCAACTTGTGGATAATAAATCTTCTAAGTTGTCGCCGGGTACAATCAGATTGGGGCATGGTGAGAAAAGCGCACAGAGGCACGCCGCAAGGTGGGGTCCTATCGCCCGTCCTATGGAATCTGGAGGGGAAGCACCAAAGATAACAGCTTATACGTCTGTCCATCTGCCCTCAGCTCGATCATGGAAACAACGCTCAGGAAGATATGTGAGTGGGCGGAGAAGGTAGGACTCAATATTAATGCGGATGGATCCCCCCAAAAAATAACAAAACCATGCTGACCCCGAAAACACAAGTCAAATACCTCGACAGTGAACTTAACAGCAAGCTGACGTGGACTCCGATTCTGCTGTATGGAGTCTTAGTGTGGTGGCAAGCCACGGAGAAGAAAACGTATAATAAGCTTATGGAGAGAACCCAGCGGCAGGCACTGCTCTGCATATCAGGGGCGCTGAGGTCAACCCCCACCAAAGCACTCGAAACCATAATAGGTATATATCCCCCAGATATCCAAGCGCAACTGACAGCAGGAAAGGCCGCACAACGTCTGGTTGCATCAGGAAACTGGTCGCTACAAGGTTTCGGGCACAGTTCAATTGGTCGAGACATGAGCAGTACATCTGACTACATGATACCCAGAACGTGCCCGGATGTAAACACAACAGTATTCATGGGACCAAATGACTGGAAGTCAGGCCAGGACCATGCTCAATACCTCAATATATACACCGACGGCTCCAAGATGGATGGAGGAGTACGAGCGGGCATATACTGTTCAGACCCTGAAATGAGGCTTTCGTATAAGCTACCAAGCTACTGCAGTATATTCCAGGCGGAAGTATTCACCATCAGGAAAGCAGCAGAGCTTGCGCAGAGAAAAAACCGTCCACATGAGGCGGTCAATTTGTTTCTTAGACAGTCAAGCGGCGATAAGATCCATGCAGTCAAGCCGGGTATTACCGACAACGCCAATTGCCGGAAGTGTGATGAATCCGAGGCAACCGAAACCTTGGAGCATCTCATTTGCAAATGTCCGGCCCTAACGAGGGCAAGAATGAGATACCTAGGCTCTCCGTCTCTTGCATCGCTAAAAAATGCCTCCAGGAGCAAGCCAGGCGAGCTACTTGCCTTTGCGAAAAACACAACAATCGGATCTTAATAGCTTTCAAGCATGGTGTCATGCTAACTTACTACATCTCAACAGCTCCAAATGCGAACTGATGACATTTTCACGTGTCACTTCCCAGTTTGCCACTTATACTCTTAATGATTACGCTCAGAAAAGAATATCTCTTGTTGATGATTTGTGTGTTCGCTTAAACCCCCAAAATTTCGTTCTCTGAACATATTTCGTGCATAATTAATAAAGCTAGTGGCATGCTCGGTTTTATTAAGAGGTGGTCGAAGGAATTCGATTCCCCTTATAAGACCTTTTTTACTTCGTTACTTTATATTGGAGTATGGTTCATGCGCCTGGAGTCCTCAATTCGGAGTCCATATCAACTGTATTGAATCTGTACAAAAGAACTTTTTACTTTTCGCCCTCCCTGGGATGCTGATGAGAGACTATAATCCTATTCTAGTAGACTTCTATTAATTAACTTACCCTCCCTAACTAACCGTAGAACGATGCTTGGTGTCGTATTTCTTAACAACTTAGTAAACGGTGATGTTGAAAGCTGTAGCAGCAAAAATAAAGACTGTTCTGCTTCGGATCACTTGCAAGACTGACTCTTTTTATTCTCTCTTCTCTTTTTCGTCTTCATGTATATCACAGATCATAATAGTGTGTGTTCACATTTGCTTAGTGCTACTACAGAGCCCCCATCTTTTAAGGCAGCTCGATTTCCACTTTCCTCGACTATCATCTAGAACCCATATCGCATTAGTAATAAATCACTGTAGGCGGGAGTTTGAAGTACATGAACCCTTTAGGGTTTTATGTGCTGATTACAACCGCCTCTCTAATATTATTATTCGTAGTGATAACCCTTCTATACTAAAAACTTAAATACTTGTAGAATTAACTCATAGTGTAGTAACGTAATCGTTTTGCATGTGTTTTTATTTACCTTTCCCCTCGGTCGGTTGGGCGAGATGTAGAAGGTAGAAGCAAGACCCAGAGCAAAAAAAAAAAAAATAAATAAATAAATAAAAATAAATGCCACGCGAGTAACTTGGGACACTTATCCTCGAATTACCTAACAATAACATTTAATTGAGGTAACAAGAAGGAAATGTTAAGCGAATGTCATACTGAAATCAATGTAAGTCATATTTTTCAAAAATATAGATAAACATAAAAATACAAATTTATATCCGAAGCAACAAATAATCTGATTGACAAGACTTTACCTAACATTGAAAATTTTGTCCTTAAAAGTCGGATCTTAACAAAATAAACATACGATTACGTATATCAATAAGTGAATAAAAAGTACGACTTACCTACAACTGAAAATATCATGGTGTATCCAACTGGTGGGGTGGTTGATACTTGGCATTCGTATATTCCTGAATCTCTTAATTGAGGAAACTTTATCTTAAAATATATAATATACAAAAACTTACATTCATTTTTCGTTGAATCAGTTCGATATGTCTAACTTTAATTTAGCGCCCAAAAGCATTTAAAAAGTAAGCAAGTAAGGCTAATATTATGTTGATAAAAATACATTGCTGAATTCGATTTCATTATTGTTTTCTTATTTCTCTAAGAGCACCAATCGCTTCTATGGCAGCTATATGATATAGTTGTCCGATTTTTACTAAATTAAAACCAAAAATCTGAAATAATATACATTGGCCATATATCAAAAATGCAAAAATGTTGAAAAACAGCCAAGTTATAATTTTTGTTCTAAAAATGTATCGAACATTTGTATGGCAGCTATATGATATAGTCGTCCAATCCGGCCCGTTCCGACATATATAGCAGAGAGAGTATATGGAAGACTATATGGAAAGTTTTATTCGGATAGCTTTAAAACTGAGCGACTGAGGGACGGACAGACGGACATGGCTAGATCGACTCGGCTGTTAATGCTGATCAAGAATCAAGTCTCCTTCACTGCGCTGCAAACTTCTGACTGAAATTATAATACCCTGCAAGGGTATAAAAAACGGAAGGAAGAAACTTAAGTGCAAAATGCCGCTATTTGTTTACCCTTGCAATTTTAGGCTGGATTATGAAAAATATGTAAAATTAAAGAAAATTAACAGGAGATGGTACATAAAATATTTTTATTGTGACGATGTCACAAACCAGGATTTAAATAATATATGTACATAGTAAGATAATAGTATATCTAAGGTAGATAAGTTTAGGTTACATCCACCCCACGAAACCCCATACACACACACACACATGCTATACGGCAAGAAGCCACTACACACACACACTTACACACAAAAAAAATATTGAGGGAAGTGGAAGAGGCAGCGGCGTTCAGCAGGAGCAGCAAGCTCGCCCGATCGCCACAGCTGCACAAGACCCAAGGAGGGCAGAGCTCAGACTCTACGCCGCCCATCAAGAGGTCACGAGACCCTGCAAGCCCGGCTGGTTCACCAAGAACTACGCCGGCCAAGAAATGCAAGGCGTCAGTAGAGGCAGCTTGCCAGCAGGATCTCCAGGAGATGGGAAAATTGCTGCATGAGGTTTCATTGAAGATGATGGACAAAACGACGCGTCACATCACCATGTCCTTGAGGGAGATGATTGCCAAGGTGAAGTCCCTGCACTCCAACATCCTTGTAGCAAAAAGAACGGCCGCGGCAGGTGTCAGCGACAGGCAGGAGAGCCGGGTGGCGAATAACCTGTGCCGGAAATGCGCCCAGATCACCCAAAGCGCGGACAAGGAGCAGCAAACGGCGACCGCCTGGAAAAAGGAGGCATCGGTCCAAACCGAGCCGTGGAGAAGGCTAAGTCAGCCAGAGGCGCCGGGATTACCCGCACCGGTGCTGGCCTCGCCACTCCCTCGTCTAGCGCAGCAGAAAAGCGCAAAGGCGCCCAAGAAGCCCCGTGCGAAGCCGCCAGCGGCTGTGCATGTTGCATCGGAGCAGCATAGGCCAGCCCGGAAGCCTGTGAGCCAGGAGAACCCCGAAAACGAATGGGAGGTCGTGGCGAGGAAGACCAGAACAGCGCGCCGCACTCGGCCAGACGCTGTCATTGTCCACGCGAGCGGCAAGTCCTACAGCGAGGTGCTCGCAATGGTGACGAGGAGAGACGACAAGCAGCTGTCGGACCTGGGACGCTGTGTGTCAAAGGTTCGCCGAACCAACAACGGCAACCTGCTCCTGGAGGTGGCGAAGGGTAGCGCCGAGAGCGCTGCGACAATGAAGGAGAACATCGAGAAGGTGCTCGGAGATTCAGCGTCAGTGCGCGCTACGACTGAAGACTCAAAAGTCCTCGTCTTGGAAGTGCGCAACATCGACACGATCGCGACGAAGCAGGAGGTCTGCGCAGCCCTCGCGGGCCAGTTTAACTTCGAGGCGGAGAGGGTGAAAGTGCGGAGTATGCGCCGCAGCTTTGCTGAAATCCAAACTGCAATAGTCAGCCTTCCCATATCCCTTGCCAAAGCCGTCCTCCATCATGGTGAAGTTCGGATTGGATGGTCCATCTGCAGGATCCGGGAACGACTTGGTCCCGTGAGGTGCTTCAGATGCCTAGAACCAGGGCATATTGCGATCAACTGCAAGGGCCCTGTGGACAGGAGCGGTTGCTGCATTAATTGCGGCGAGCCGGGACACAAGGCGGCCTCGTGCAACAAGGAGCCGTCATGCTTCATATGCGCTGCGGCTGGAAGGAAGGAGACGAGGCACAAGGCAGGCGCCAGGGGATGTCCAGCCTCGAACAGTGGGTATGCGAATCCCAAGCCTGCATGCAGTTGATTCAACTCAATCTGAATCACTGCAGGGCTGCGCAGGATCTCCTGTCGCAGACGGTGCGGGAGCTGGGCTCGGAGGTGGCAGTCCTGAGCGAACCCTACAGGGTCGGTACCAGCCGCGTCTGGGCCACTGACCGCTCTGGCAAGGCGGCCTTGTGGCTCTGCGGAGCGGATGCTCCGGAGATGTGCGACACCAAAGCAGCAGAAGGCTTTGGCCGGGCGAACGTCGGCGGCACTTGGCTGTACAGCTGCTATCTGGCACCCAGTCTCTCATTGGAGGCGTTCGGCAGGATTCTGGACGAGCTGAGCAGCGATCTGCGTGGGCGGAGCAACGTCGTGGTTGGCGGCGACTTCAACGCCTGGGCCATGGAATGGGGATCCTCCCGGACCAACGCCAGAGGCCGTGCGGTGCTGGAGACCTTCGCCTCTCTGGACGTAGTCCTTCTGAACGAAGGCTCCCGGCAGACCTTCAGCAGGGCCGGGGTGGGCTCGGTAATCGACCTCACCTATGTCAGCAGTGCGCTGGCCAGCCGCGCCCGATGGAAGATCAGCGAGGCCTATACCGCCAGCGACCACGAGGCTATCGAGTGCTCGATCGCACGAGTGGGTCCCTACTCCCGGATAGGAAGGCGTTCCGGCAGGACACCTTCAGGCCGCGGGATTTTGCAAATGCCCTCGAGGGCTTCACGGCTTGTGAGGACGATGGAGCCAGCGAGATGGCCAACAAACTGGCGGCTGCGGTTGATGGCGCGTGCAACCAAAGCATGCTACTGAGGAAGCCGTTTAGGAAGCATCACTCCCCGGTGTTCTGGTGGAGCGAGGAGATCGCTGACCTTCGCCGCAAAAGCCTCCGAAGCAGAAGGCTGCTGCAGCGAGCTAGAGGCACCTCGCGCCTTCCTGCGTGCAACGACCGCTACATGGTGGCAAGGAAGGAGCTGAAGACTGCCATCAGGAACAGTAAACGCGAGTGCTTCCTCAAGCTGTGCGACGCCGCCGATGAGGATCCTTGGGGAGGAGCCTACAAAATGGTGGTGAAAAGGCTCAATGCGGGCGGCAGTGCCCCAACTGACCCGGCGACTCTGGAGAGCATAGTTGGCACGTTGTTTCCTACCGGGCGGCAGGTCGCGATCTGCCCTAGTACCGAGTTGGGCGACATCCGCTGGGTCTCGGAAGATGAGGTTCTACAGGCCGGCAGAAGCCTGAAGATTAAGAAGGCGCCGGGGCCGGACGCCATTCCGAGCAGAGCAACCAAGCTTTCTCTATCGCTGCTGTCGTCCGAGGTGGCCTGCTTGTTCAACAAGTGCCTCCTGGAGGGGACGTTCCCCGACAGATGGAAAAGGCAGCGGCTTTTGCTGCTGCCCAAGCCAGGCAAGCCACCTGGTGAGGCATCGTCCTATAGGCCAATCTGCCTGCTGGACACGATTGGCAAGGTCTTCGAGAGAGTGATCTCAACTCGGTTGGGCGAAGCCATCGAAGCCGCGGGTGGTCTCTCCCCTGAACAATACGGATTCACGAAGGGACGGTCTACGCTGGACGCCATTGCGAGGGTCGTTAAGATCGCGGAGGATGCCATTGCAGGAACCAGATGGAAAGGTGGAACCAAATCCTATTGTCTGGTCGTCACCCTCGACATCAGGAATGCCTTCAACTCTGCAGACTGGAGCCGAACGCTAGAGTCCCTGAGGAAATTCAACATTCCGGGGTACCTACTGAATGTAGCGCTCAGCTACTTCAGCAACAGAGTTCTCACGTTGGACACGAGCATGGGTTCCAGAGAGTATAATATCTCAGCCGGAGTCCCTCAAGGCTCCGTCCTGGGACCTCTTCTCTGGAACGTCATGTATGACGGCGTACTGAGGCTTCCGATGCCTGCCTGCACCAGCCTGGTTGGCTTTGCGGACGACGTCGCTATCGTCGTGGCAGCGAAGGAGATAGCTGCCGTGGAGGCGCGGGCGGACACGGCCATCCAAGCCGTAGAGGCGTGGCTGGCTCTCGCGGGGGCTAGAGTTGGCGGCTCACAAGACGGAAGCTGTCCTCATCTCGAGCCGGAAAGCAGTGGAGACGGCCAGCGTTCTTGTTGGAGGGACGAGGATCCGGTCGCAGCGGGCGATAAAATACCTGGGCGTCCTCATCGACACTCGACTATCCTTTAAGGAGCACCTGGAGTACGTCCACAAAAAGGCAAGTGGGACGGTAGGAGCGCTCTCCAGAATGCTGCCGAATACGAGAGGGCCGAAGCAATGTTCGAGGAAACTGCTATCGTCAGTTGTGACCGCGCAGATCTTGTACGCGGCACCAGTATGGGCCAAAGCTGCAGCTGGCAAAAGCTACATGCGAGGAGTGGAGGCGACCTACCGCTTGTGTGCCATCAGGATCGCATGCGCGTTCCGCACAATCTCTGAGGACGCGGCTCTTGTTATCGCAGGGCAAGTCCCACTGACGGAACTCATCCGGGAGAGGAAGGAGATCTCCGAATCCCTACAGGACAGGCGGTCACCGCTGTCCAGAGCCGAGGTGAAGCTTGCAGCCAGAAGAACGAGTGGCAAGCTCGATGGGACTCCTCTTCGAAGGGCCGTTGGACGCACAGGCTCATCCCAGACCTAGCGCGATGGGTGGAGAGGGCGCATGGGCAGGTGAGCTTTTACCTTAGCCAGGT